AATACCTTCCTCTTAGCATCCTTGTAAGGATTAGAGAAGCATATAAGCATATCAGATTGCTTTAGCACGGGCTCTGGAGCATACTAAGTAGTCAGTAAATGTTAGTGGCTACTATTAGCAGCAGTAATATTACTTGTGAAACAGCTGGTGAGGGAAAGTGAGCTACAGGAGTGAAGTTTTGCCCTATAATTGGCATGTTGCTTGGCAAACTCCAAGATTCTCAAAAGGTCTTGTCTGCCTTCCAAGAAAATCAAACAACAAGTGCCTGGGTTGTCTTAACTTATTCCAGCCCAAAGACAGTCTGGTTTGGTTTAAGACCTCCTGGGGCCGGCTTAACATCGATCACGGCCAGCATTTACAAGAAAGCTTCTGCCTCAAATGACCGCCCGCCCCACTCAGGTGACTTTCCTGGGCATGCCGTGCAATCAGTGAGCACAAAATGAAAGCTTTTTCTTTCCTGGGGGAGCTGAAACAGCACAACTTGCAACTGCCCATCCGAAGAGAAAGTGATGGTTCTAGAGACATGCTGATGGCTTTTCCTGCTTTGGGAGAGGTTGACCTCTGAGCTACAATGGGAGGGATCTGGGGGCACTTGACTGGCTGATGTCCCAGGAACCCAGGAGCCTGGGCAGGCAGGGGAATGGACAGGAACAGGAGCACCCTAAGCACTGACCCTAAGTTTCTGGTGAGGAAGGGGACGGGTGCAGCACGGGAGAAGAGGACAGGTCACCTCTCTGGTCGTCCAGCTGCATCCATCCCTGGAGCTGGAGGCATATGCACAGTGGCATATCCTGTCCTAACCATGGATTCTGAGATGTCTTCATGTGGGATATTTCAGTTATCAGTGGTTTAGGAGGGTGTCTCTAAACATATTTCTGGTCCAAATGGGCGCTGGACTTGCTCCCCAGCAGTCTATTTTAAGGAGGGAAGCTGACAGACCACCACATGCTCCCCGAAAGATAAATAAGGGCTGTTACTAATAACCAACGAATGTGTGTTTACACACTAAGTGTCTGCAGGAACTGAACCTGTTTGGGATTAATTACAGGGAGACATACTAGTTATTTTGAAACACTTGAAGACTTTGAGAACAGCCTTTTCTGAGTTTCCCAGAAGCCATTATTGAGGTTTAGTATAAGAAAGAACTTCCTGGGGCGCCTCGGTGGCTCAGTCGGTTAAGCGTCTGCCTTCGGCTCAGGTCGTGATCCCAGGGTCCTGGGATCGAGCCCCGCATCTGGCTCCCTGCTCCGCGGGAAGCCTGCTTCTCCCTCTCCCACTCCCCCTGCT